ATTGAGCTAATTGCTGGTATAGTTCTTTGATATTGCATCGACCCGTTGAGTCATCTGAAGCAGGTGTAGCTCACCGGAATGACCTCTCTTCCGATGCCGTCACCGGGGATAAGACCTGGGCAAAGGTTAGTATTGCACAGCTACATAGTATCATAGGGACAGAGAGAGCAATTGACCTATTCTGAGCGTCCTGGCAGCCATTGTTGCAGAGTTGAGCTGGTGAAGTCGAGTCTTGCGGTGTCCGAGACCAACAATTTGCTGTTTTGGGCGCGGGCCGGTGTCGGAGCAGTCCCTGATTACCTAATCGCATTTCTCGGCGGTCCCTGGATCACATGACTGGATTCGGCGACACTGTTTTTCCGTGTTTACATTCTTCCCAATGCGGACATCCATGAATCTTGAATTCATCTTGAATCCAACTTGAAGTAGACAAACAATCAGAAACTGATTCAAAGTTACCAGCAATGACATTGTGATGGCGCTGTTTATTTGGCCTCCCCAGACCTGGTCTTGGGGAATCCCGGGAAATGGCTGGTTTAAAAGTGGAGGAAATGCTTCTAGATGTCTTCCTTCATTGACTGCTGAAACACTCCAGTGGTTTCACATACAGGCCACATTTCACCACATGAACACTGTCTCAAGCAACAAGCAACAAGACACTGCCAGGAAGAAAGAAAAGAGACAACAGGTATCTTCCTTCTGGTTCTCTGCGGCTGGCAGCATAGATGATTGGCTGCTATTTCGACATATGCAGCGTCCCGGGTTCAACGAGAGAATAATGCCTGCAGCCCGCGACTCGAACTGGTACGAACCATCTCGAAGTAGTGTAGAATGCGTACAAAAGAACGGCGTAGTGCAGCGGGAGTTTGACGTTGGACAGCAGCCGCCACGTTTCCCATGTGCCCAGCCCCTATTCTTGAATATTGGTTTTGCTGTGGTGGAAGCCAGCGCAAAAGAAAAGAAAAGAAAAGAAACCAACACGCGTTGTCGATCGGAACTGGAGAAATATTAATTATCTGAACCCTGCGTGAATGGGATAGTTGGATCTCTCCTAGCCTTCTTATCTGATATCTGCTACTCTGCCTGTTGTTTTCTCGTTAACGGCGGGATAGACGCATACATATTGACGAGGTGTTTACAATCACGTTACCCAGGCGTGTTGAGGCAGCCCCGACGTTCTCCCGACAACCACAACCTCACTCCATCGACTCCAACCACCACCACCACCACTGCAACCTCATTTCTCTCCCTGTTTCATAATTCCTCTCTCTCTCTCTCCCTGCCATCTTCCCGGCTTCAGTCAACTGCTCTGTTTATTTCTGCTTACTCCCTCTCCCTCTCCCTGTCTGCCTATCCTAACTGTGTCCTCTGCATGCTGGCTCCCCTCTGACTCTCTCCCCCCTCCCACCCCCAATTGCTCCCCTCCCCGCCGTCTCTGATTGCTCCCTCCTGATCCTCCATCATGTCGGACAGTCGGGCCCAGACTGGCGGTGTGCGGAGCCTGCTGGCCCGATTCGAGAACAACAACAATAACAATTCCTCGTCCACCTCGCCCCCGTCCCGCGGCCGCTCCCCTATCGACTCTACTCGTCCCGACTCCGTTCGCCCGCTCTCCAAAGTCAGAGCCAGCTTTGTTGCCGTCGAACGTACCGGCCAGCCTGGAGGTTCGCCCATGTGGGGTTTGAGGAAGTCTACTGAGATAAGTGATTCACCCGGCAAACCGAGAACAAGTGTCGATGAGGTGGGAAGCCCCATGGAGAGGTCTGTGACTATGTCTTCGAATGAGAGTGGGGAGAATAAGGGGGCCATGATGGGTAGGTCACCAGACAGCACGGGTAATAATGGGCATTTGGGGAATAGGCCGTGGGCAACCAAGGTGCCCTCAAGGCTTATGGACTCCCCTACGCCTGGGAAGCAGTCTACTCCGGGTGATACGTTGTCTGTGGCCACTACTGCAGCAGAACAGAAGCCGGAGCAGGAATTGGGCAAGACATTAAAGGACTCTCCATTTGATTCGTCCCCGCCCTCCAATGCCCCCAAAGGTGACTCGCAGACAGACAAGGCCAAGGAGGCCGCAGCTCCAACCGCTGGCATCAACGGGAAACCCACAGAGAAAGCTTCGCCTAAAAAGACTGCTACAAAACCACCATCGCGTCCTTCGAATGCGGCAGTCGCATCGAAGAAGACGTCCAATGACTCCAGGTCTCCTCCACTCCCTCGAACACCTCGGACGCCAGCAACAGCTCCGTCGCATACTACTTCCAAGGCCAACGCAAACGCAGCCAAAGAACCAGAAAAGGGCCAGCCAAAACATGCAGTGAAAAAGCCCAGCCGGGCAGCATTGAACCCAGCAACCAAAGGCACGGCAAGGACCCAATCCTCCGTCGCCACTGGGGACGATGCCACATCTAGAAACGCTAGATCCCGGACTAGATCCCCAACTCGTCCAGCCCGCCTTCCAAACTCAATGGTCGCACCAACTGCATCCTCTGCCGCAAGATTCAACCTCGATGGCCGTCCCGCATCCCGCCCATCCAGTCGAGCCGGCACAAATACCGCCAATACTGCTCGTAAGCCATCTAGTCTAAGAACTGACCGAACTACCACGGCTGCAAGGACCACATCCACCGTCCAGAAACAACCATCTCGAGCCTCCCTCGCCCCCCCACAAAACACAGCTCACGACAGACCACGGTCACGTAATACCGGTACCCGCCCAGCGGACGAATCATTCTTGGCACGCATGATGCGGCCTACGGCTAGTTCTGCGAGTAAAGTGCACGAGAAGCTAGAGATTAAAAGCCCACCAAGAGGATCAGGTTCGCGGCCGCCCAAGGCCAGGAGAAAGAGCGGGGAAAGTGCTAGTAGTCATGGAAGCACGCCGCCGTCATCCACCAAGAAGATTGTAAAGAAGGCGCCATCGGTGGAGGCGGATACGGAGGGTAATGGGGGGGTTGAGGTGCAGAAGGATAAGGAGCCGGAACCAGTGGTTATCCCTGAGGCGGTTGTTGAGGAGACGGTTGCTGAAGAACCCGCTGTTGAGGAAGCTGCTGTGGAAGAACCAGTCGCTGTGGAACCAACCGTCGAAGAACCCTCTGCTGAGGTACCCACTGTTCCCGAGCCTGTTGCTGAGGAGCCTACCATCGAAGAGTCCATTGTTGAGGAACCTGAGGTTCAGGAGCCCGCTGCTGAGCCCGCTGTTACAGAACCTGTCATCGAAGAACCTGCTGTCCAGGAGCCCGCTGCCAAGGAACACGCTGTCGAAGACCCTGTTGTCGAAGAACCTCCTGTGGAAGAACCCGTTGTCGAGGAACCCGTCGTCGAAGCACCCGTCCCTGAAGAGGCCACTGCTGCGGCAGAACCCACTAAAGAGGCTGCCGCTGAGGGACCTACTGCTGATGAGCCAGCTGTTCCTGAGCTCGCTGTTGAGGCGCCAGCTGTCAACGTGCCTGTGGTTGAAGAAACCCCTCAAAGTATCCCATTGCCCGATGAGGAGGAGCTATAACCGGTTTATCTCTTTTACAGGTATAACAGATGGACTGGTGCCTTTTTCTATTCTATTTCTATTTTATGAAATTCTCTACTCCGATTCGATCATCGTAACTATATTTTGGATCCCATTTTCGTCGCATCCCATAGCCCAAGACGCACTGCCGGCTTTGACCTTACCTTGCGCTCCTTCACATTCAAGATGCGCCACACTTTGAAAATGCAGGAATATTCTTCTCTTCTTTTTTTGCTTTCAAAACCCCGTTTTCGGATAACCTTATATTTTGCTATGGCTATGTTTTTTATACTTCATTTTCTTGATCTCAACGTCCCATGAGCGATCCAATTTTGTTTTACTTTGCACTTTTTTCTCTTCTCTCTTGTCTACAGCTTTTCATCATATTCTCATCAATCAAGCCCGTTCACCAAACCCCATGTCGTGCCTTGCTTTATTTTGCTATCACGCTTGCTTATTGCTATACGTTGCGTTGCTTCTATTCTCTTCATTTCGACTTCGATTTCTATCTGTCTGCTTAACTATAGTGTTTCTTCTGCTTTTCTTCATATACCTTGTTTTGTTCGCTTCATTGGCAAGAGTGATTTTGTTTTTGATCGTGTGTTTTTTTTGGCCTGAGTACTGCTTTTTATTTTTATCTTTAGCCATTTTTTTATTTTATCTATTTATCGTTAGTATAGTTTAACTTACTTGGACACGTCGCGTCGCCTGCCTTTTTTTGAGAGAAAGATTTTTTGAATGCCAGCGAATTCATATTTATTTTTGTTGCTATTATAATTCAGTGCTTTTACTCGTTCATCTTTATGTTAGCTTCACTGTTGTCTTCTTACTTCGTCTTGGATGATACCAAACGACGTACTGTGCTTCACATTTACGGCATGTTTCTCGTTTCCTCTCAAGGCTGCTCCTTTTTTGTTTTCATCGTACTATATAAGAGTATAACGTCACGGATATTTGAAGAAAACAGATGCAGAAAAAAAGGGAACCGGCCCTCGTTGTTTGGTCAATCCAGTCTAAATTTACGCCGTAGATTTAGAAATGTGCCCATTCTAGGTAGGCATATTGATAACATCTTCACCCAGCTTTTATGGTTGATAAAAGGCTCCATGTATCTATAACATCTAATGGACTGCATGGGAATGTTCATGTTATTAGACCCCATGTCCATCAACAGCGTAGCTTAACATGGTAGAGCGAGGGGCTCCGTCCCGCCCCATCTCGACTATGTCGATACGGGCACTGCAACGAGGGGGGCACTAAAAAATATATATGAAGCGGACGAACAGTACGATATGCCCGCCATCAAACCACACACCCACACACCCACGACATTCTAGTAACATCCCATTAAAACAAAAATAATATTACCTCCCTAAAACCAAACCAAACACAATCTCCTCCCTCCCCACCCCATCCCTCACCTCCATCCCGTCTGCTACTATGAAGCAATTGGAAATAAAACCAACCAACCCCTCCCTCCCTATAACCAACAACCGGGAAGATGGCCGAGCGGTTATGGCGCTACGTTCAGGTCTTGGCAGCGAACTTTCAAAAGTGTCGCTTCTGAGTATCGTAGTAGGGCAACCTGCGTGGGTTCGAATCCCACTCTTCTCATTTGATTTTTTTTTTCCTTTCCTTTTTTTTTGGGATGGTATTTTCGTAATTTGGTGGGGTGGCTGGATGGCTGGCTGCGTGGGTGATTTTTTTTTTTTAAATTGTGCGCCTGGCAGGTAAGTTATGAGGACATCCTGACAGCTGGATGGATGGGTTTTAGAACATGCCTGGTTTTGGACCTAGCTTTTCTATGATTGCTTGCGAGGGGATAATTGCCTCTCGTTAATTGTGACATAGCGCATTAATAACCAAGAGACTGCCTACTCCGTATATAAGACATCTGGGCAAGCGGGAGAGGGGGTCTGGTGATGGGGATACTCATACGGGTTTTTCAAAAGGGGTAAGTAGTACCAACAATGTCTGGGGAGGTCTAGTATTCATGACTATTCGAATATATTCTAAGAATGGCATAATCTCATACATATTTGCAATTACATAAGGCTGAAATGCTTCGGGTATATATATCAAGGCCCAAATTCAGCAAATCCTTGAGAAAAAAAACCCGAAGTCCTTACGCGGCGTTGTACTTCAACCCAAAAACACCCCTTTCAATGCTATTCAGCACCATAACCCCACTGGGGAAATACGGATAAACACTCCACGAGCCTACAAACTCCACCTCCCCACCCGCCTCATCGTCCTCGGGATGGCAATCGAAGAAGGCCTTCTCCGCAAACCCTTTCCCCGTAGGATCCGACCCCACGGAGCTCACATCCACAACCCGAAGACCCGAGCCGTAGTTCGACTGATATGTCAGGCCATCGATGACGTACTGGTTATGATCGATCGACTTGACGGGAGACTGGTAGAAGCCGGTGAAAGATGGGGTCGCGAGGCTGGTGATGTTGACGATGTAGGTGGTGGTGTGGCCGGCTTCGCCTGGGTTGGTGCCGTCGGACTCGTCGAGTTCGTCGTCTAGGAGGAGGAATTCCATGTTCGCGCCGTCGGCGATCCAGCCTTGGTGGGTGTAGGAGGCGCCTTCGTAGGGGGTTGAGGAGATTTGGATGGGGGAGGCTTTGTCGGTTACATCGACGATGGTTAGGGTGTCTTCGTTGTAGTTGAAGCAGATTTCACGGTCGAGGTATTGCTCGTCTGGGCCACTGTAGATGACGCATTGGGCTGCGGGAGGGGTTGTTAGTTTGTTTCACCAGAGTATACAAATGGATTGAAGGCGGTTTATTCTCACCATCATGGACGTAGCCGTCCTCGCTGGCGCAGCCTGGAGAAGTTGGGTTGGCAGGGTCGGATAGATCGACCATGAACAAACCACCCGCACATGCTTCCTCTCGCGCAGTTCCCACGGCATAGATCATCTTGGTATCTTCGTGCGCGACGATGTTATGGGAGCTACCAAAACCGTCGAAATGGGCTGTAAGGTCCTTCGCGATATCGAATTCCACTGGCTCATCTCCCACATCCGCCAGCTATTATGCATTAGCTTATATGTTGCATGGCAATAGAGGAACACGGGAATTTACCTTTCGCATATCGAAGATCTGAAGACCATGACCCGCCGCCTCGGAGCCAATGCAGGCGTATCCATCAATAACCTTGATGTCACGCCAGGTGCTGGATTCCGTCTGCGTGGGCAACCGGCCAACGTATTTGAGCTCGCCGCCCTTTAGCACCTCGACGAATGCAGTGCCATCCGTTTGTCCGACAGCAGCGAACTCACGGCCATCACCAGCGGTCCAACCTATATGACTGCATGTCAATTCATCATCCTAAGCAAAGGGATATAGGGAGATGCTGAAATATAAACTCACCCCATATATCATTTCCTTCTCTTGTAGTACTTCCCATATCCTCATGGCTCAGGAACGAGGTCATGTCAATATTCGAGCAGCCGTATTCACCCGCCTTTCCGTCGACACAAGCCTGTGGCTTCTTGATAGACTTCCACTTTCCGGCATTAAAATATCCGAGATCTCGCAGCTTCTCGCGTGCGGAAAGTTTCATGGCCATGAGGCGATTCATGTTCATTTCATTCTTCTCGCTCTGAGGGATGCTATCAATAGCAACAGCCATACCGGCCACGGCCAGTGGGGCGAGGAGTGAGAGCTTCATGGTGGTTGTAGTACGGTTGGAACGAGCTCACTTTCCGCGATAGTATGAGAGCTGATAATGTTCTCGGGATGAACAAGGACGGGAAGGAAATACTGCCTGTTTCGTGGTGCAGGTGACCCTTTATATAAGCCTTCGCACGATATATTCATACCGACATAACGATCGTTGGAGATCCGCATCGTGCCCCATGCTTCCCTCCCTCCCTTCAAAGTAGGATATCCCTTATCGACTTGGAGTGAAGCTTCTTGGCTTAACCATGTCAGCCCCGGAGCGTTTATTGGCAAATAGCCAATAGATAGGTTGCTTAACGATGATCATTCGTAGGATTTCAGGTGCGAGCGAATCGGCGGACAAAAGCCAAGAGCCAAGATATTGGAATGGGGGGTTCTCCTAGATGCGGAGCGGGGCGGGGGGGTTCAAGTGATAGTTGTGAACTTGTTACCTTCCACTTTGCGATAGCCGAGAGGCTCTCAGCCGCATTCATTTCCCCTGCATCATGAATGTAAAAATGTCTCCTTTCGTCCTTCGATCCTGCCATAGATAATTCCAGAAGCATGCAGGCTTGTCCCCTGCTTGTCCATTTCGAAAACTGTAGATCAGTAATGCGGGGTTAGGGATTTTTCCCCCCCGATCAACTCTCTTGTTAAACACCAAACGGAAAGCAAATCATCTGAGATCTTCATGTCGGACTCGTCCGGTCTGGAATAGCATGCCTGGCTAAACCAAGTGGGGGGCTACTCCGTCACGATGCCATCCCAGACGGAGGTAGGGTACCCTAGCTCTGTCGAAGCTGGGTCGAATAACGTTGATCCATGCGCTGGGATGCAGACCAAGCCATCAGCTGTTTGCTTCCTGTCAGTCGCACGTTTGGAGACCTGCATTTTGTTTCTGTAGATCGCTAGTAGTTAATGCTGTCCGAGCAGGATACCCTGGAGCTATGTGGCACGACGATATAATCGGCGTCGATGACAGATATTGGCCCAGTAAACGCCACGGATTCACCATGGACGGCGTTGACAATTGTATTCTTCCTATTTTCCTCCGCGGAACTTGATGCTTTCGGAGAACGAAACACTGGTTGGAAGTGAGGGCCAACGTTGCATCCCCAGAAGTTGGCAGTGACCCACGCATGAAGAAATCATATTTCTGCGATAAGAGGGTCGGTTGATATCAACCGCCAAGACGGGCTTCGGTCGTCGTCGCATTCGAGGCGTCGCCAAGAACAAGCTTGTTTTGGCGACCAGAGTTGAAGACACCTTCCATCGCGGGTGCCCGCCCATGTGAACAACTGCTCTCTCGAATTCCTTGATGGTGTGGCCTTACCAAGCCGATTGATACCCTAAGTGGCACGATCAAAACCCACCAGATATATTCAATTTCCTGTCCAATCTCCAACAAAATGCAGCTTAAGGATTGGCAAATTGAAGATACTAATTGCCTGCCTCAGCACATGAGCACAGAATACCGGGTGCCAAAGCGTCAACGTCGATCTCTCGCTGGGGTCGTTGTTTCAAGCAAGAGGAGAGATACAGACAGGACTGTCGACCAAGGTGTTGTTCCACCCCACCTTTTGTTGGATCTGGAATTTGGCGATACCACGCTGTTTGGCAGGTGACTGCTGCAATGCGAACCGTGCCCTGTTGATACCAGGACGCATGAAGGCTTCCGGTAACCATGTATCCTTGACGGGTACGCAATTCCGGGCACATGTCCGAGATGGAGATACCGTGTGGTTGCATGTACCGATTTTGATTTTTCTTGCTGGTTGGTTCACGAGGTGTGCGCTCAGACGGGGTTAACCAACAGAATAATGTGAGGGGAACCATAAGTTGGCCTATTGTCGTGTGTGATGTGCCGCCCTGTCCTTATGTTCTATCGCCTGTGTGCGGCGGCGGGTTCAACGCGGTACCACCAGATAAAATCCCGACTTTCATATTGTACAGTACCAGCGTCAACCCCATTCCGAACTTCCCGGCCATGCACAGTATTCGTTGCCTGATGAAGTCAGCAGCGATATGCGACCTCACCAACGGAGGTCGTTCCGGTTATCAATTCGGTTCAGATCTTCTGGGCCACCAACCCCAAGATGGGTCAACAGTGAGTGAGTATCGGGCGAGATATTCCAAAGGACAGAGAGACTACTGTAAAGATCTCCAACCACGCGCGCTTTTCGATGGTTGAACGGCGCGATGCAGCCCAAGTCTATCAGAACTGATTGATAGAGGAACCGGCCAGCGGAAACGAAGAGGTGAGGTCTTCACCCGCTGTGCCACGTGATATCAGCGGCTCCCCCTTTCCTTACCCCTTTTCTTCTAGGATTTGCTGAGCACTGGAATTCAGATCCATGTTATATTCCGGATCTTTTATCATGGATGCCATAGCACCACACAATAATATGACCGAACAAATAGTTTCTGCTCTATCCAGCATGAAAAGGGGGATGGAGTTCAAGCCACACCAGGGTAACAAGGATAGGATGTTAGCAATTGGTGGAGAAACAAAAGCATAAAGTCTTGTATATTGGTTTACGTACGCCTCGTTGGATTACACATCACGTACGCGCAGCAAATAAGGCTCCTCATGCATGAACAAACTCCTGAACCTTCTGGGGGCGCTTGCTGTAAGGGGGATGTTGATGTGTTTGAGTGATATGGATTAGCTGTGTATGGACGGGTAGATGGCTACCATGGCTATACCCCTTGATATCGGCTTACCGTGGATAAATGATGATTGCGGGAAACAGGCAGCGACGGGTCTAGAATCACGGTGGAAGGTGAGGGAAAGATGACCGCTACCCCTTACAACACCCTAATGTATGAAGCAATATTCCGCATCTTTAATACTGATGCCATTCATCCCTACCCATACTATATACATAATAATCATCTTCATCCCTCATTTATCCAAACATTATATACTGTACCAAGAAAAGA